TCTTCATTCATTGGACCATTTTTTTTTACTTTATCTTTCATCTTTTTTTATAAAAAAAAAGATTTTAATTTCTTTCTTTTGGTTATGTTCTTTTAATGCACTTTGATGAAACTTTATTAGGGTAAATTAAAAGTTAGTGCAGTGTTTTTATATTAATATTTCCAAAATAAATTTTATAAAAGAACAATACTGCAATTTACAAAACAATAAATGCACGAATATTTATTATTATAGTAATTTTATTAATATATTAATTTATTTATTATTTTATATTATTATTAATTATTAATTATTGTGTAATTGATATATTATTGTATTATTATATTATTATATTATATATTATATTATATAATAATAAATGTTCGTGCATTTATTATGTTGTAAATTGCATAATATAATATTAATATATTATTATATATTAATTTATTTATTATTTTATATTATTATTAATTATTAATTATTGTATAATTGATATATTATTTTATTATTATATTATTATATTATATATTATATTATTGTATATTAATTACACATATAGTAATAAATGTTCGTGCATTTATTGTTTTGTAAATTGCATAATATAATAATAATAATAATGCATAATATAATATTAATATATTATTATATATTAATTATTTATTAATTAATCCTATATTATTATTATATATTAATTATTTATTAATTCTATCCTAATACGATATACATTTTATAGATTAGATCGTATGGATAAAATTGGCGGGTAATTTGAAATTGGTAAAATTCATTCAATTTCTAAAAATGAAAAATACGATGAATCATCAAACTTATTGCATCGTTTACACATTAAATTATTTCTTCTTTCTAAGAATTAGATCAGGTCGTATATTATTCATAATATTATATTTTCCTTACTAATTCATTTTGAATAATTAAAAAAAGAAAAAATCGTTAAATCTTGGTATCATGAATGTTAGAGAAAGAACAGCTTTATGGATTATATTTCGTTTCATTTTGGATTGTAACACACGGTAAATCAGGTATGTATATCAAACAGCTGATCGTAGGGAAGAAGAACAAGAGATACTTTTTAAACGTAACTGGATACTCGTTGATTTTTCTTCACTATACACATATATACACTAATACTATACCAACTCGCGAAAGTACATGTTATCGTTTGAATATAAATCGTCTTACGACTACACCATTGGCATATTATAACAGTATAAATGTAGAAATATTAATAAAAAAGAAAAAAAAAACATGTAACATTACGAGAACTCGTTTCCGTCCTACATATCTCATGAAATTTACTCGATTTTCATCTGAAATGAAACCTCACGAATTCGACTTTTTTTCTTTCTCTAATTCCCTCTTTCTCTCTCTCCCTCCCTCTCTCTCTCTCTCTCTCTCTCTCTCTCTATCTCTCTCTCTCTATCTATCTATCTTTCAATTTTATACTCCGTTTCTTTCTTTTTCGTTGATTAAATCGAGAAGAGATACGAAGGTCGATGTATCTGATGTTCTGCTCGAAATATCCAAAGAACTTTCGAAGAATTTTGCTTTTTTTGCTACTCTACGTGTTACGTTTAACCAATGAGAACTTGATGCAAAAGAAAAAACCCCCTCAAAAAGAAAAAAAAATGAATGAAAGAGAAAGAGAGAGAGAGAGAGAGAGAGAAAATTGCTAAAAACGAAATGCACTTTGGTGATGGTTCGAACGAATCAACACGAGTTTAAGACGAGTTATAACTTAACCGAGATAAGTGCTTTCTCGTTTTGTACAGGGCCCCTTCCCCCCACCCCTCCCCCATCCCCCAAACGAAAGATATGTAAATAAATATTTGCTTTTATTCGCGTTCATACTATTTTCATACGAATAGACGGACTTAAATAGAATCGACACGAGTTACGTGTCTGAAGTAAAACTAACGAACGAACGTACGAATAAATGTTCGTGTTCTCTGATTCAATTAAAATTACAAATATACAACAAGATCATCAAGTATTAGACAAATCATTTTGATAATTGAGACAATACTAATACAAAATTTGTATAAATGAATGATGATTTATTATATCCCCACTACCCACCATTATCTCCTGTATCTACAATTTCTAACGAGATAGAATTTTATTCTATCATGTAAACACATGTTGCATGGTTGGTTTTTTGATTTATTCAATATTATTTTTATATTTATATTAAAATGTTTTATTTTATTAATAAAATATTCGAAATTTTTTTATAAATTATATTTACATATTTATAATAATAATATATTATTCATATATTATTATAGTGATTTATATAATATTATATTATAAAAAAATATAATATATTATATTAATTTATATTATTTTATATTAATTATAATATAT